GTGCCGGTGCCCGGGTACTAGTGCCCGGGCACCAAGTGTGAACACTGCCTTTGAAGGGACTCGCTCCATTTGGTGAGGTCATATTTGTATTGATGGCTTCCTCTATCAGGCCAACCTTAAGGGATTGCTCTTATTAGAGAAAACGATAAACAACTCCTCTTTATGCCACAATTGACCTCCTAATGTATAAATCTCGCTCAAAAATACTTCTTTAATTTTGGAAGAAAACCATGGATTAAAAATTACTTGAAAGATTATTCTTAGTTTTATTTGAGTGGTTCGGCTTTTAGTGACAGTTCAAACAAATTCGGGACTTTGGCAACCGACCGCCTAGTAAGATGCCGGTTAATACAAGTTCGACTGAACTTTGTTTCCATACTCAGGGTAGCTCCAAAACCCTTTTCATAGAAATATAGAATGAAAAGTTAAATGCATACCCGTCTACGATGAATCTTTGGGGGTAAGGTGGTTAACGTCAGAGTAGATACTTGAGTTGGGGTGCGCCCTCGGAACTAAGAAAAGTGTCACGGTGAATGATTGGTTTCGCCAGTGAAGGGACTAGATAGAAATGTGATAGGAGCGTTTCTGATTTTCCGTTGGGTTCAAAGTCGGTGTCTATTAAAAAAAAGATGTTCCAAAGGAGGGGTTTGTGCGGTAGGAAGAACGCGAAAACCAATCTGGGTTGTTATTTGAAACTGCATTGTCTTTCGCTTTATTTGCCCGTAGAAATTGATAAAATCGTATTCGCCTGGGGCAATAACGATTAATCTTCGATGAATGAGACTGCACGCTCCTCGTGGTGTCACATAAGCAATTTTAGCAATTACACGTACACCGAACAGGAATAACCGCGCCGTCAGCTCAAGGCTCGGGCTCTAGGCTCGTGCAAAGGCGCCTTTTTCAACTTCGTTTCGCTTGCCGTAAGTGTTTAATCACGTTTAGGTGTAAGGTGTGCACATTATCGTAAAAAATTTTAGCGACCGCGCACCACTCGCTTAAAAGCAGTAAGCGGTCTTGGGGTTGGTTGGAGGTTTCTGCACAATGCGCCTGCGCAGTGGAACTACTCACCAAAACACAAGAGCATTATCGAAGACCTGACCTCATAATTATCTATCTTGTGGAAATTGTAATTAGATTTCTAATTCTTTTAATCATAACCATTACAATTTCCTCAAATGTCATTGGTGCATCAGCTGCTTTATATTTCAATAATCACTCTGTACAGTTGTAACCGGACAGTGTAATCGGACAGTGTAACCGAACAGCTGAAGCAGCCAATCATGGTAAGTCCACTCAGCGAAATCCACTAATCACAGAATTGATCATAATAACCATAGAAACTACCACTTACCCTGGAAAAAAAATGGGAAATTCCAACTTTTTTGCTTTAGACATTTTCCCTGCTGGAGATATTTGTCCTAAATGTATTTGGTTTTTATAATGGTTATGATTAATTGATTAACTTCGTGTCGTCCAATTCTGCCTTTAATCATACTTGTGACTGACAAATGGTACCCCCGCTTCGCGGTCGTCCGATTTTGTTCATTACTCGTATGATTACAGACCGAATTGGACTCCACTTGGTCTTATTATCATTATTAATCGAATATATATATCTAGACTTAGTTATTTCATATATGCGCCTTTCAATTGTTTGTTGTTGTTTTTTTTTAATTTATTTATTCTGTTTTTAGGTGATTTGCCTTTGAAACATTTTTCATTCGATTTCAGTTTCCCTAGCGAGATTTTGTCTGCAGCGCTTTCCATATTTTTGATGATGAAATATATCGCCTTTAACTCGCCTTTTCTCGATTCGTTTCAAATCCTGGCGTAGGATTATGACGCACACCGTGACAGGTTCTGTGGCACTCTGCATAAATTCATAGTAAATCAGTCTTCAAGTTGATTAAGACCAGCGAACTGTGAAAATCAACGAGGAAAAACCCTGGTTATACTCTGAGTAGTAGATGTCAGTTTTGTTAGCATTATCCTTCCTACTAAGGGTTACCCAAGTTACAGAAGCTTTCATTTATTTTTGGACTTTTCCGGTCGTTCAATCGGAAATAAGTCTCATCCCTGTATCGCCCTCCACTACCTGACCGCGCCACTTTACTACCTGGATGCCTAATCTAGGCTTTTTTTTCACTTTTTTTTAATGTTTGTCAGTGCTCGTACTGGCAAGCCTCGATTGTTCCAAGGGCCCAGTTACTCCATGGAGCATGTGTTACAACGAAAAAAAGGGCGAAATATTCGTGTTGACATTACATAAACTGTTTTATCCTTAGGAGCTCGAACCAAAAGATGCAAAAACAATAAAACGGTTCTGATGGACTAACGGCTTGTCCACGAGACGTGCAAACTTGAGATCGAAATCAACCAAAGTGTCATTGTTTTTGGCGAAGACGGGAAAGTTTTCCCAACGCAAGCTAAGGGGAAAGATGGCTGTGAGACCTAGGGTATCAATGCGTTTGTTTTTGGCCCCGAGCAGGGCAATGCTACTTGACTGAGAATAACCCTCTCTGCATGTACTAAAAGGGTCTTTACTCGAACTTTTCTCAAAATTATTTGACAAGTTTTGTTATTTTTATATGAACGTAACGCGAACGTGTACTTGAAAATCCTTTTGCGTTAGATGGTCAGACTGCTGACATCTTCAGCCTAATAAACGGGACTTTGAGCGTGATACTCGACAAGTTTACCGTGTCTGACGCATCTCTGAGCCGAGACAAAGTGCTGCGTCATGCCAGGTACGTACGTTTTAAAACAAGTAAATGATATGGGGGCGAAATTTGTAGATTCAACACACTACCTTAGCGCTCGCCTTGTTTTTTTAGGTTTTTGTTTTAATATTTCAATTGTTATTACAGCGCTTGAGTGGGCGAATTACAATACCAAAACATCACTGGACTAATTGGCCTGTGTACACTCCGATCCGACACGTTTGTATTACGTTCGTCATTTCGACAACTTTCTATTGGTCACTGTGTTTTTCACTTACTGGCTTCTACGTAAAATTATCGGAGGCCCTCAGATAATTTTACCCATAATAAAATATGCAGAGATATCTTACATAGATTTGTTCCCATTCGTTTTCCACAGGCAAACAACAGTATTTTGATCACATGTCCAAACTTCTAACCAGTTGATACGAAATGAAGGTGTTACATGTCTGAAAAACCAGACCCACGTGCATAGATTTGCACATTTTATGTATAATGTGTTACAGGCCGAAAAGTTTTCAGTCATACCCACGTACTATGATTTATACATTGAACAATACATCTAAGGGTTTGAATTAATACTTATTTGGGTTGTTGGTACCCGGAGGAGTACATTTTATGACCAAACCTTTGTTGCAGATTCCACGCCTCCTCAGAGTAATGACTTATGCTTCCATTGAAATCCCAGTGCCTTTTTTATTTTGAAGTAAAAGCGGGCTATCAGGTAACTTCCTATCAGATAATTGTGCTTTTAGCAGCTAGCCATGTTCTCCATTCGGATTAACCTTCCTTCTTGCAAACTGTACTTCTTTGCGAGTCTTCTTTGGCTCGCGTTCGTTGTCGGAAAAGTTTTCAATATGATTCCAGTGTGTCAGAAAATGCTGCAAAACCTCTTCCTAAAATGGACAAGGTGTCGAGTACATCCAGAAGAGTTTTGGCACACTATGTTTAACACTGAAATGCGAAACACTCTTTTGCATATTCTTTGGAGAGATCTTGTCAAGAAAGCATTTCTTCATGGACCCGCAATTGACGTTCCAGTACTCTGCCTTGATGGTGAAATTCCTCGGCGGTGTAATTTGTTAGACTTCCAGCAACCAGGCCGGCCATTGGTGATAAACTTTGGGTCATGTTCCTGACCAGAGTTCATGGTGGACCTACAACAGTTTAATAAAATGGTCCGCCGCTATCAGGGACAAGTCGACTTCCTTGTTTTATACATCGAAGAAGCACATCCAGTGGACGGTTGGGCGTTTAAGGTAAAGCAAATTGAAAAAGAATTGGAATAGTGAGAGTCCCTAAACATTTGAACAGTGTTACTATGGATTCAAGAGCCGAAAACTGTTCAAAAAAAGTCTTCGTAGGAAACGTTTTTCATTTTTCAAAAATCTAACTATTTCATGTTTTCAAGCAAATTCTGTGAGCTAGGTTTTAAGACTGGTGAGCGGGCTACAATGAGATGTGAAGTTTAGCCAGCTTACTAATCCGATAACAAATGAAGAGGAGTATGGCTGATGATTCCTCTTCAATTCAGAGAACAAAAGAAATTTACGTTCTGTTACGCTAGAGAGAGAACAAACTGGATGTTACGCAAAGACCCTGCCTTACGACAAGTTTAACAACTTTCAGAAACATATTCTCAAACATTTTTTCATGCCATTCTGGTACTTTCAACATTAGGACTTGTATACCATAATTAGCTGAAAATTCAGTTTTCTTAAGTTTAGAGGTAGGCTTTGAAAGACTTTGAAATGTAGGCTATAAGAAAGAGTAGTCAAAGAAAACCCAGAGAAGATGAATGTTAACTGTTTTACCCATGAAAATATGCGCTTTCAGAGATAAAATTAACGACATGTTTTCCATTGTTTGTTTCACGATTCTTCCATTCATCACAATTGGAAATACAGAAGATGAATACCCCTCTAATTGCATGCATTAATTACTTACACGAAAGCACGTTCTCTTGAATTAAAAGATCATTATCCTTAAAAATGGCTGAAATTTTTAACTTGACTCTAAAATGATTAAGGGGGCTGGGTATACGGGACCTCAGATCTCCTAAAAAGCTTAGAAGAAAAGTGCACAGATTAATTTGCGTCCAATTAGGATTATCCCTTGGGAGGGAAACAAAACAACTCGCATTGAACCCAACGATCTCACCAATAAATGATAAACGTACTTGATATTGGTTATTTGATGCCCCTCCTTTTTCAACTGTGGCGAACATAGAATTTGTGTTTCTTACTCTATTTTTTTGTAATGTTATTTTGACAGAACAACCCCAAGATACTTCAACACCGAACTATAGAAGAAAGGTGCGCGGCTGCTAAGCTTCTTCAGCCTTATTGTCCTGACGAGGTTTCAATAGTTGTTGATACAATGTGCGACGCTGCAAATGCCGCTTATGGTGCTATACCGGAAAGACTTTACGTCATCAAGGATGATGTTATATCATACCAGGGAGGGGTAGGACCTTTTTCATACGATCTTGCAGAGGTGGAAACTTGTCTGACTCAGATATTTCAAGAACAAAATTGACATGGCATGAATAACAATAAAAGATAACAAGATTAATCCTTTATAAAATGAGCTGCACATAACAATGTTTTCACAAGGTTAGTTTGCAAAAATTAAATAGAAAAAGTATTAATTGTTTTGAAAGATCTAAGTGGGTTTGTTCTTCTAGTTGAGAAATGAGACTGTGCTTGTGTTTATGTTTCAGTCACGCGAAGAAAAATTTAAGCAGGTTGAAACAACAATAATAGTGATATATTATGTAAAAAATGTGTAAAAACCTTCTTAGGCTTAGGAAATCCAAATTACTGAGCAGATCGATTTTTAGTGTAAGAAAGAATGGAATGTGTGGAAAACGGCAAACTGCTATTGAGATAAATCAGTGAATTAATGAAAGCACTGTATTTTAGACCTCACTTTATTTACTTAGTTTGCAGGGACCTGCTAAGTTTGACGTTGTAGTTTTTTTGCAGTATTCTTTATGACAGTTTGCACACTAATTCCCAATAGGGGCAGGTGTTAGCTTGAATGTTTGAATATTGTGAAAGAGCTTGCAATGTTAAATAAATACTTTGGCTAGACCAGAAAGTAAAAAAATTAGTTGGGAGGGAAGAATTGTTTTGCTTGAAGTCAAGAGATAGTTATGACATAACAGAAATAAAATAAAACTTCGGTGAAATGTTTTCCTGATCTACCCGCGAAACTTATGAACACGAAACTTGCCGGCCTACGCACTAAAATGCGATCAGTCTAAGTTTTATCAGGTGAGTGTTTAGAAGGAAAAGGAAAAAAACAACTAATGAAAAAAATCATAACGGCAAAAAGCGTGGAAGGCTGGAAAGAACTGATAAAGGTTAGTCGAACAAGAACTGCAGCAGATGGGGTCATATAGGAACAAAATGGAACTCAAATGGAACTCAAAGCTCAGGCTTAGGAAATGTGGAGGACGATTGCACCGGCAACCTCTTTTTTCATAACAGCGGCGGGTTGAAAGAGAAAGAAATAATTTTGGGGAATGAAGTGTGCGCTGGATACTCGTTGAGATAATTTCGCGTCAGTAGTTGGTTGTGAAACCCCAAGTTGAAGAGAGTAAGTTGTGAACTGCCTTTCCAATCAGGCTGTTGCAGGCACGTTTACATTTAAATGCCAAATTTTTGGATGTTCAACAGTTGTCAAATTTTCGTGGAGCACTCTGCCTTGTCTTGGTTTTACGGAACAAAAGCGCCTCTCAAGGAAGGTTTCATTGGCAGTAAATGAAGTTGGGATTTGGGCCAATTTTCGCTGAGTACAGTCTCTCTGGTCCCTGACTTCTTTGATGTGAAGTCCGCGAGTATCAATCCCTGTGAGCCCGGTGGGTGGTGGTTTTCAATTTCTAAGGGTGCCGAGGGTAAGTGCAACGGAAGGCAAGTCATGCGCATAATCCAATATGGCGGAAGTGTGTTGTGAACTCCCCTGACCAATAAGGAGCGGCTGAATGCCACAGATGAGCCATGAACCTTCTGAAATATTTACTTTTCAAACTACTTATTTAATGCTTTGATTCTTATAAGCCACCGCAGCCAATGTCTTTTAAGGTAAGGAACAGAGAAACGGTAAAATCGGTACGTGTTACTTCACGTAGCGGTGCTCGCGTGTCGAGCAGTGGTTTCCTCGCAGCTCTGTGTAGAGATTCACAGTTCATTGCTAAGATGAATGCCGTTTGGAACAAATATTAGAATTTCTACACAGTTGCTGTTTTGATTCCCCTGCCATTAACGTTAGGAAGTCGGTGGTCAAAGTCATAATTTGATATGATCAACCAGTTTTCCTTTATTTCAGCGATGGAATGATTCATTTTCATTGATTGCTCATTTCTCTCAGCTGGGTTTGAATAACATTAATTTAAACATCACCTGGAAGAAATTAACAAAATAAGGCCTTAATTGTCTTTAATATAAGAAAGGTGTTGAGTTGTTTTCTTGAATTTGACTGTTAAAGGGCCAGTTTTAGTCGGATTAAACATATCACATGGCCACACATTCGCGTCTAAACGCATTAATTGAAGAAGTGCTTCCAGTTTCCAGTGATTGCTTTGTTGCAAAAAAAATATTCTCTCGCTATTCTTTTGAGATTTAATTTCACTTTGCTTGATTATGGTTGACCTTTATGGTTATGTAATATTTTTTGCAATAATAATGTCAAAGAATCAGTTCGTCAAAGTTCAATTTGAACGTGCAATTCAGTAGAAAATTTCTCCTCGCAAATACATAATGAGAGCGGTGTATCAATGAAGCTGATGATTAAGTATTTATTTATTAATGTTGGTGTCTGTTAACTTCCATATTGATAACAAGTTATCAGAGTCGCCTGATTCACATGATGGTAGCAATTTTTCAAAATTTACATTTATATATTAACACTTAAAAACATAATAATTTCTTATTTGAATACAGCTGCTGTTATTTCACTCTTACCCTGAGAAGCAGTTCTATAAACATTGTTTGGGTTTATAAATTTTTTCTCTTAGTATGAAAAAATTGTCTCTGTTGTCTCAAAAAAATTACATTTCCTGCAAAGGTGGAATGTGTCCATTTCCTTTATTATGAATTTTTTGCACCTATTTTGCACATATCAAATATAATTGACTTACACTTTAAATTTCTCTAAGAGTGCATGGAAAAGAAAGGTTCATGACAGAGTTAAAGCATGATCAGCAACATTTTATGTAAATAGTTTTAACAGACACAGGACCCATTATTTTCTGATGTACAGGTAAGAGACAATGATTGGGACTGGCGATCCATTTGTCAGGACTTTTTATTTGACCGTCAAGTTCCACATCTGGAAAATATTCTTGAAGCTCACTACAGGGGAGATGTGAAGTGTTTCATTCAGCAGTACTTAGAACCTGTTTTAGCACTACTCAAGAAATTAAAGGTGTCAGCTGAGGTGAGTGTTAAGTCTTGGTTTAACTGTTGTCCATGTTTATGATATTTATTTGGTAAATCTCTAATTCTTTGTAGATCAACATGATACTAGGTTGATGAAAGTTTCAGCTAGTTTGTCTGTGATATAATTTTTTTGTCTGGTTCCCTGTAAGGAAATTACTTCTGAAGAAATGTTTATCTTCTTGGAAGATACCGAGGAACCTTTATTCTAACTTGGAATCATTTTAGAGTACAACAAATAGATGTGGATTGTCTCTCAACTCTTAAGAAATTAAGTGGGAAGAGGGATTGGTACAACAAGCTATATTACACACATATTTCAATTATTTCCTCACTTATGATCTATTGGGGGACACAAGTCATGCAGAGATGATGTCACAATTAGAATTTTCTGCTTCCTTATCATACAAAACATATAGCCTTCATGCTGCCACATGTTTATAAAAACAGATCACAGAGAACATCAAAATGTGGTAAGAACCTTTTTAGGAACACACTGGCTAGTAGCTCAAGGGCCAATTTTTTGTTCTTACCACTTTTTGATGTTATATGTAACATATTATATAACATATAACATGGAATGTATTTATTGATTAATTTTTCCTGTTGGAAAAAATCAGGATTTCTTACATTAGTGAAAGTAGTTTCTTTTTGTATTCAGAATTGTTTTGTTGTTATTAGATGAGTAAATATAAATCTAAGTTATTGATGCATGATCAGTTACTTTTCATTCCATAAGCTATTGGTGTTCACTTTTTCTCTACTTCTCTTCATTATAATAGTTATTCTTTTAAGAATTAAAAAAATTTTAAAAGGTTTTAGAGGCTCACTTATCTTAAACTCATGCTTAGCACTTGAATTTTGTAGCTTCAAGTGTAATATTTTTTTACAAGATCAAGATGTTGATAATTTTTTTTTTTTGTTGCAGAATTTTTTCTGCAGCAGTGAGAAGCCAGATGATGCCTGGGTACCTTATTACAAAAAACTTGTTGGCAATGCTATTCATGTTACTAAACTGGACTCAAGTCTCCACAAAGGAGATTTTTGTATGAACTTAAGCTTAGCTGTTCCAGGAAATCTTATAATAAAATATTACAGAGCTGGAAATGTGCAGTCATTTCCACTGAAGGCTGAAGACTTCCCTCTCATTTGGCAGAAGAACTGGACTGACAAGATGCGAATAGAGATGCAAGGACGTTTTTTATTTTTAAACTGTATTATAAACTCCAAGAGAGGAATGGAAAGAAGGCCATGGAGGTACCTCATGTCTGAAAGCGGAAATGTTAGTGTTAAACAGTTGAAAGGTATGTTGATTAATGATTATGTATCAAGATGTTTGTCTTGATTCTTTTATTAGCATTTTGTGTTAGATATTTCCTATAAATTTTTGTAAACAATAGCTGGTATATTAGGATTATCTAGCCATGGGAGCACTTTTCATTTAGTAACTAGCTGCCAGTTGTAAAATCTCATGTTTACCTCAAGGCCTCTTTATCTATGCTTGGGAACAAGATGACATGGTAACTAGGACTAATTTTTTTTTCTGTCCATAAAGGAAATTCTGGCTTGCTTTATGAAACTGATATTTGAACCTGGGTGTTGTTTGTTTGGGAAATTTTAGCTTGACAGGCAAAATGAATAAGGTACAATCTTTCAACTTTCATCCTGGTTCATAGAATGGACTGGTCTTGTGGAAACTTTTCCACTTGGTTACCTAGAAGTAGACAGGTTTGGCCATTGTGTTAACATGCAGGTTAGAACAGTTTTGTACAAACTAATGTCCCATGCACTCAGTGCGTGTAGGAGACTTGCAAAACGTGAACTCCTGAAGAGTCATCTGATGTTTTGAATTGGGAAGGCAAAGAGGATGTAAACATGTTTACTCAGCTTATTCATTGATCTCATAAACAGAGATCTTCTGGTTTTCTTTTGTGAGAGAGGAATTTCTGGAGTTGTAACCTGAATGGAAGAACATTGTGATAGTGAAAATCAAACTGACAGAGTCTAAAGAAAAATAGTGGTACTGCTGATGACTCTATCGCCTACAATCCAGTGATTACTGGATTGTCTGTGTCTAAAGCCATCATTTTAATTGGTTTGTTCTTCCACTTCTGCTTGTGCTGCTCTGGAAATCTGGTTTCTGTTGGATGGTAATCATGGGAGTCAGTAAGGGAAAGTGGAGGAAAATGAATGGTTGTGATTTTATGATTCCAATTCCATTGGTCGTAGGACTCCATCCACAGTTGTAAGTGTAGTATTCCACTTACAACTCCAGTTTTTGATTTTCACTTGGTGAAAGCATTCTTACAATTTCCACTTTGACTCTGACTCCATTCTTGGGAAAAACCAGAGGTAAGGGGGCCAGCACACTTTCACATATGAAACCATAAAACCTTTTTGAAATAGGAAATTGCACTGCTAAGCAATTAAAATAGGTAAAAGAAATTGTTACTCAGCAGTTACACCATTACTTTTTGTATATTTTTTAATTTCACACAGCTATTGATGAAGAAGGCTTGGAGAAAAGTTGCAAAGTAAGCCGTCAATCTCTGTTTATGGAGAAACCAATGAATGCCTTTGATGTGAACTTTGAGTTGCTTCACAGCGGTGTGGCTTCACTTCCTGGTATGAAAAAAAATACTTTGACTGTTTTTCTATTTTTTTAGTTGTTGTGGTGAATTGAGTGTT